TTGAGAAGAAGCCCTCTGAGTCGGAGCGTCTCTGTAACGCGTGGAGAACTACATCGCCATTAGTAAAATGTTGTGGAGATAAAGTAAACAACGCTGATTTAGCCACTGGCTGGCGGACGAGCGCTGGAGTGTGTTGGGCGAGACGGTTGGCTGCATGAAGAGAGGAGACTTGAGTAGAAGGACTTTGGAACGGACACGCTGGGACTGGGTCAGGAGTTCTGGTACTAGGGAAAGACAAATGAACAACTTGAGGTGAGTTTGGGAGTCAGAGACACTAATCGGAGTCTGGCGTCCAGCTAATAGCAGGCAGGGATCTGAACATGTGCGGCTTCCTTGTATTGGACATGAGGAATGGACAAATTTTATGTCTTTTGATTTAATTGTTTATTATTCAAACTATCAAGTAGCAACAGTGTAGCTATTCTTTTTCTTAGTTGAATTAGCAGACTCCATGCTTCCAGGGCACACTGCTGCCCTCTGCTGGTTCTTTCAGGTTACAGTCATAGTCCAAACAGGTAAGGTGGAGCTTGTGTGTCCCTAAACAGCTACTATATTTTAAGATGGTGGATGACCTTGGAGCATCGACCACAGTTTATGTAAAAATGTATAATTTCATGTTGAGAGGAATATTTAGAATTGATGTTGGTGAGAAATATTAGTGAAAAAGGACAAATTTGTGAACTGGAAACACAGGATTTGATAGTAAACCGGTAAAAATATCGCACGCTGGGCCTTTAAGTACAGTAAAAAAGATTATATAGAAATAGGGGCCGATCGATATAATTTTTTCAAGGCAGATGCGATACCAATTTTTAAAGAATTTTGTTGTTGATGGCCGATATCTAAAGCTGATTATTAAGGCCAATATCTATACGTTTTATCAGCACATTGATTGTGAAAGACAACCGAACACTCACTGTGTGCAACATAAATTAAAAAAGTCAATAAATCTCTTAATATTTATTGAACATCAAATATAAAACAAACTCAAAACATTTAAAAATACGGTGTGCTGGGGTCCTTCGGGTCCTTTCTTCAGTCTAGTAGTGGCAGCAGTTGGCCAGACAGGTACCTGATTTATTTTTATCAGCGTTTTTATTGATGGTTGATATATAAAAAATTGGATATATCGACTTAATATATATATTTAAAAGCATTAATGGAGCATTTTTTAGCTGATATAAACTTGACAGAGTGCACAGAATTTGTGTTTCTAACAAACTAAAAACCTAAAGTCGACCTTCTGTGATCTCCTGATTGCACATCCATTACACTTACTGCACTAAACACAGAAAGCATGCTCCCATAAGCACCGGCAGTGTGGTCCGATTAGCATGTAGCTCAAGGTGATGCTCCACTTCAGATCCACAACGCAGCTCTGCACAGCAGCTAACCTTTGACCTACATACCATTCCACACGGTCCTGTCTGGACTGTGCTGTGGTTCGTTGTTAGGCACATGACTTCCTGTCTGTGGTCACATGACCTGATCTTCTGCAGCTCACGCTCGTTAAATTATACTGGTAATACGTTCTGTCTGTGTGGATTTATTTGAGAAAGTTATTCTGGTGCTTCTTAATTTTTTAATTAAAGGTAGAAAAACAACGGTGTAGCTTTCTGTGTTGCTTCCTTGTTCGGTCAAGACAAGTTCAGCTGCAGGATATCATAGATTCTGTCTTTGGTGATTTGGTGAAACCTTTTTGTTTGTTTAAACAGATTTAACACTTTCTCTTGTGATTAAAGCTCATGTTTAAATTCACTCATGTGAGCGAATACTGAATAAAACAGCATCGTATTTGATAAACAAACAGATAAAAACTATATATTTAGTTTGGTCTGAAATGAAGACGTGCACACATGCAGACAGAATTAATGTTTTCTGACTGAAATGAACAGAACAGACAGGATTAATGAAGGTTGGAGAGACGAATGGCTGGAAGGGGCTGAAGGCATCTGTCTAGACCTCTCTGGGCTCTAGCAGACCTCCAGATGGAGAATTAACAGTTGACCTGATGCTGATGTGGACAATTCCAGAACTACTCCTGTTCCTCTGTTGTCTCCTCTCCTGCTCTGGCCAGTGCTGCCCCCTAACCCGGGATATGGAAACTACATTCAGGCAGAAATAAATATTTAAAATGTTTTGTTTCTATCTTGACAACTCTTTAACTGATGCGAGAAGAACCGTGGCCTCATTTTCACTTATTCAGGTCTGACTCTATTAGCTGATGTTCTGTCGCTTTATCTAAAAAAATAGTGACTTTCAAGTAGGTCTCAAATGCAAAAAGGGCCTGATTCATGTTTTTGTTTAATAGCAGGAGAGAAAACAAACCTTTTTACTTAAATGATCAATACTTTCAAATGACTAAAATGAAAATATTCTGAGACAACTGCAGCTTCCTTTTAATCAGAATAAGAGTTTTTATTTTTACTTAACTGTACCTTAGCAGGAACGGCTAGCCTCGTCGGATTGTGAATCTTTTATAAAACAAACTGCAGCAGTCTTGAAATAAAAAACAAACAACTTTAAATTAAAACCTTTAAAAGAGATTAATTAAACTTTATTTGCATATTTTGGTGGCTTCTTCCAACTGGAAGACCTAGAATTTATTTAGGGATAGTGTAAAACATTTATTTTTCCGTCATTAAGGCCTAGTCCACACGTAGCCGGAGTTTTTTAAAAACGAATATCCGCCCCTCCAAAAACTTGCATCCACACCACCGCGTTTTTAAAAAAAACTCTGTCCACACGTACCCGGATAAATACGTTGTTAAGGACATGCCAGACCTGTAGGCGGCAGTACTTCCCCCATTCTTAACCTCGTCCTTCGTCTGTGGTCTTCCGCAAGGAGCAGTAATTCCGCTTGCAAAAACAAACAAGCAGAAAGCGCTTGGACAATTGATGGATCGGGTAGTGACAGAGCGCAGCTCTGAAGGCTTCCATGATGTCGGCTAGTGTAAACACAGGTCGCACACGTGATGTCAGCATTTTTTTGTCGCGGAAAGTGACGTTGCAGACCTTAAAACTCCGGTTTTCTCCGTCCACACGCAGACACCCAAAACGGAGAAAACGCAGATCTTCACTTTGGCCGGAGTTTTTAAAAAGATCCGTTTTCGTGTGAAAAAACTCCGTTTTCGTGTGGATGACAGGCTAAAACGTAGGAAAATATCTACGTTTTGGCAGATCCCCGGCTACGTGTGGACAGGGCCTAAGACACTTTTTGAAAAGTCTAAATTAAAGCTGATTTTACTTACTTTGGACTTTGATTTATCGCTTTGTCAAAATTGTTGTTTCTTTCCACAAAACAATATTTTATTGATAGTTTTTTGTGGAACAGCCACAGATGCCTTATTAGGATTAGAATAAATGCCCAGCAGATGCTCTAGTCTTTTGGTTTTGCTGCTCGGATCCTGACCCTCTTTGGATTTTTGGTATCGTGTTTTGAAAAGAAAAAAGGCTTTTGAAGAGCAAAGAGAAGGTAGCCATATTTTAGATTTCAGATATTCAGTAAATGATTCAATATTTTATAAGCGTTCACCAGTAATATACGCACAGGTTGTGTGTGTGTGTGTGTGTGTGTGTGTGTGTGTGTGTGTGTGTGTGTGTGTGTGTGTGTGTGTGTGTGTGTGTGTGTGTGTGTGTGCGTGCGTACGTGCATGGGTTGGTGACCTGTTCACAGTGTGCTTATCAAGGGTGTGAAGAGGTGATAATTCTGTGTTGTGTGTGTGTGTACGCACACCTGTCACAAGGCAACAAACAGGTTGAGCTTTCCTCATTAGACGTCTGCAGCACCTCTGCTGAGATATACAGCTCTCCTGCAAACACACACACACAGTCACATAAACACGCATGCACATAGACAAGCACACACCTTTTCTGTCCTTGTGCAGTACATTCACACAGATTTGCACACCTGCTGACAATGAAGCGACTTTTAAAGCATTATGCTCATCATCACTTACATCCCTGTATAGCTCCATGTCCCCAGCATCTACAGCTTTGTTACACACACACACACACACACACACACACACACACACACACACACACACACACACACACACACACACACACACACACACACACACACACAGACACACATACATACACACACACACACAGACACTTGTATTTATGCACGTCTGTGGACCTCCATTGACTTCCATTAATTTTAGTGACTCTATTATGCCTAACCCATACACTAACCATAACCAGTGGGGTTCTGTTCCTAGTCTAAACGAAAAGTTAATTCACACCATACCTCCAAAATCAAGTTTTAGGGTGCTTAGCATTGTGTGGACCAGCAAGATGTCCCCTTGTTACAGGTTAAAGTCAAAATGTGTCTTTCTTATACATATAAAGACACATACACACTCACACTTACACACACTCACACTTACACACTTACACTTACACACACACACACACACACACACACACACGCACACACACACACACGCACACACACACACACACACACACACACACACACACACACACACACACACACAGACTGGTGCAGTTTTCTCCATTTCTCTCTGAACTCACATTAAGAGGCCGTGCCCCTCAGACAAACTCACTGACTGCAGCCCAGTGGGAAATGGATTTTCTTTCTGAGTCTGATAAACAAGTGATTATTTTTCTCTGGGCTGTCATCTGGCCACTTTTGTCTCCTGATACTTAGAAAAAAGATATAGTGTTCAAGTCCCAGACTGATTAATGCAGAGGCTGTCGTCTCTTCGAACTTCTCTAATAATTCTCAGAATCGGACCACAGAACCACGTTTCTAACTTAGTGCCTCATTTTTCCCTCAGTGACAAACTTCAACAATGGCTTGGAGGCCAGTTCAGACTCTGATGATGAGGACAAGCTACACATTGTGGAAGAGGACAGCCTCCTGGAGCCTGATGCTGCCGCCAACGCAGAGGGGACCACGCCGCTGGACGGCCATGATGCCACCATAACAGTATTACCCCACAACGGCTCCTGGAATGGAGGTGAGACGTTGCCATGGATATGGCAGGGACTTGATATTTGTCGTGCAAATTAGGCGCCTTATGACGACACTGAGGGGAGGTCTCGAATCGCACAGTAAAATAACCGACAGACGTAGTGGATGCAGGACGGCATCATGGGAAATGGCAAAAGCAGGTTTAACGCAAACAGTTTAAATGGTTGACATAGACGGTCCAGAAAACGTCAAAATAGCTAAATATTAACAAATCAGAGTGCCAGAGATCACCCTTGCTGTCCAAATGTTTGCTAAAAACAAATAAAAGCCATTTTGGATCTAAATCACCAAACTAAAGTAGCTAAAAAGATGCAGTTCTGTAAAACTGATGCATTTGCTGTACGATATTTTAATGTATCCCGTATTTCTCTTCTGATAACAGCATATTTAATGAAACATCTGTTGAAGCTCCTTTCCTGAGACGAGAGCGTTTCCGGAGATTCTATAGAAATCCAGTAATGAGTTTCCTCATTACCACTGCTGAGGCGCTGCGGGACGGAGGGAGTTGAGTCATCACTTATTATTCGTCTTTGTCGACAGGTTTCTCTAAACCGCGCGTTCACTTAACACACAACAAGTTTAGTCATGAAGGATTCATCACTTCCAGTTCAATTAGGGCTCCTCTACCTCACGCTGCTCATCACCGTAACACCTGCCGTCCTCCACCTCCACGAGTAAACCTGAGCAGACACAAGCAGACTTCTGTTTGCTTTTACTGCTTTGTGTTTCAGCTCCATGGAAAAGAAAGGTATCAGTTTAACACTTCAAATACGTCCAGTAATGGTTTGTTGCAGGACTCCTCCAACAGCTCACCGTTAGAAAACAAACAAAACGGTCGGTGTGTTTAGATTTAACAAGCAGAGGCAGGAAAAGTCTGACTTTTAATCCTCGTTTCTCTGCTAACACCTCAGCCTACGCTGGCATCTGCCTCCATCTCAGCAGCAGCTCGTTCCAGCCAAGCAGGAACCACTAAAACCACAGAGACAGCCAGATTCCGAACATGGTGGGAGCAGCGCTCGCCTACTCTTTCTTTCTCTCAGCTCAGTCTCTTCTTCTCTTCTTTCAGTCCTTTTTACATTGCTGCTTTCTGGATGCTTCCGTGTTTCTTCTCCTCATCCCAAGAATCAAAGCTATAATAACAAAAGCATTTAGTTTAATGTTTGCAGCAGTTATCCTTCTGCGTTTTACTCGCTGTTACAAACTATTTCTGCTTTTTTTAAGCTTTTGGCCAAACATCAAAGTCATGATATGATTAAATATAATGAACTGTTCTGGGTCGGGCCTGAGAACAGAAACTCAGAGCTACATTAGCTTTCGTCAAAACAAAGTCCCTAAATCTGCTTCAATCCCCAATACAACAGCTTAATGTGGGCTGATGACATTTTCCTCTTTTTGTTGGAATCTTCTGGTAAAAGTTGATGAAAAACTTCAGAATTTTCCTCAGAAAGAGAATGTTGGTGGATTAATGCCTAACCAGTTAATGAGGAACAGTGTTTATGCAAGCATCGTTAAACTGTGCAACTGCTGCATTTTTCTGTTCAGTTTGTGATGATTTCATGTTTGTTTTCATAAATTTTAGTTGGGCTTAGGGCTAGATCTTTAGATCTAAAGCAGCAAGTCAATCAAAACATCAAGTGTTGGACAACGGTGTTCTCCAGAGTCTGCGTTTGTTGACCCTTACCATCCTGTTACTGGTTCCCAATGATTTAGAAGTTGGGTCATTTTTCTGCATTAATCTCAAATAGTCAAATAGTCAACCCAAAGGAACATCAGCCCTCATTCCAGCTGTGCTCATTTAAAGTCAGCAAAGCAGATTTAGTCTTCGGGGATTTTCAGGTATATGAATCTTCATTTACGTGAAAGTAAAACATACATTAGGTGAGTCATGTGCTGACTGCAGTACCTGAAGTGTTTCAGCTGCACCTGCAGTAAAAATAACTGACTGTTCCTGTTAGAAAAACATTAACAAACCAGGAAGGAGCTACGCTTTTATGGTACAGAGGAGCTCTGATGGTGTTCTGGAGAAGTCATGGAAAAGTCGTGAAATGTTTCAGCGCTGTAGAGCCGCAGTGGGAAACCTTCTGAAGCTACGCCTGGTATTTTTGGGTTGTCTTGACTTTCAGCTCTTTATTTCCTCCCCGTCTGAGGCGAGAGGGGAGAGCAGCTGGTGTTGAGTTGGTCCTCTGGTGAGAGATTAGTGAGTGCTTTCCCCCTGCAGCCTGGGCCGCACTGCAGCTCCAATCCATCCTGCTTTATAAATTCACCACGGACAGTTTTGGCAAGGTATATGTGTGTGTGTGTGTGTGTGTGTGTGTGTGTGTGTGTGTGTGCGCGCGCGCGTGCGTGCGTGCGTGTGTGTGTTTCTGGGTTCTGGACTCAGTGTGTAATGTGTGTGTGTGTAGATTTTTCGGAGGCATTAAGAGTAATTGTGGTGTATTGTGGGAAAATATGTAAAGAGGTGTAACCAGTGAGAGAGGGAGAGTCAGGGGAGGGAGTGGGGTGAAGTCTGACAGATGTGAAGAAGGGAGAGGAGAGATGGAGGAAGACGATACTTGTTTACAAGATGGAGGAAAGAGGAGTGAGTGAAAGGAAGGAAAGATGGAAAAATAGAAAGCAAAACACAGATGAAATAATTTTTTTAAAGTCCAGTTTACACAGAAAAGTAACATTCCTCCACGCTGGTGTTCTCATGTTTCCTTGCAGGATGAGGAGGAATAAGGAAACAAGATGATTCATAGTGGTCTATTAATTACATGTTAGAAGAAGGTTTTACTCCAACTTCTTAAATCCTTGCTTTGCCACCTTAACTTACCTTGTCTGGTCACATTGATTAACTAAAAGCAGAGTAAGCCAAAAGAACTTGCTGATGTTGAGGAATCAGAGGAGCTACGACAGCATTGCTGTACTGCCCACCTCTTCTGCTGGCCCAAAGGCACATCAGCTTAACTACAAATCACTCAGTTGGAATGTAAAAGAGGCCTTTTCATTTACACATTTTCAGTAGATTTTAAAGGTGTCCTAGAACAACGTTTAAAAAATTGGAAACTGTTATTTAGGCCTTTACATAACACATGGAACTTAGTGTGGGCTTAAAATGGCCCAGGAGCCCTGTTTAATTTGCAAATACAACCCTATAATCATGGACGTCACTAGGATTGAGATATAGGGGGGGGGGGGGGGGCTTAGCCCCAGGAGCTTGACCTCGAACGTTTTTTGTCACACCCTGCAAAAACTTTGTCAATTAATTCATTATCTGAAGAAAATCTAACAAAACCTAGTATTTTATCACTTTCCTTTCCTTTCCTACTTTTGTGCATTTTCTCTCTTCTTTTTATAAAAAATAACACTTAATCAGTTAATTAGTGGGGTCTATGTTGAAGAAATATTTTATGTAAGTCCATTAAAAATTTGATATGTTATATTTCCAAATAAAGCTATTCATTTCAGTCTACTGCATTTAACAGGGGGAAATGTTGTAGTCATTTATTTAATTTGTTTAATTACAACTTGTTTAATTATGAATGTTACTGAAATGTGACAATAAAGAACAAATGAATAATTGTCAAACTTTTATTCTGCCAAATGAGTGTGCAGTTGACAGTTTTAATATATGAATAACACTGCTATGATATGGAATAAAGGAGTATATAATTAACTATTACAAGACAAAATAACAGTATATATGAAAATATCCAGCAAGTAGTAGAACTTATAATACAGAAAGTCAACTATACAGATACAACTTGACATAAGGTTGCAGGTCACATGATTATTATAGTTTTTTTTTTCTCAAGGTCTCTTACCTGTTCACTCCTAAACAGAAAACTGTTCAGTTTTGCTTGGGAACTTTGTGCTCAGGTAAATGCTCATAACGATGCGCTCGCCCCTGTTTTCGCTGTAGATCACTGACCTTGACCATGCAGATCTCCTCAGCATCAACCACCTGGTCTCTCTCCTGTTCCTCACTCACTCTCTTAAAAAAATCTTCGTATATCCATCTAGCCAACACATTGAAAAACATTTTCAATTTCTAATGCCAAAAAAAATGCTACTAAGCCATTTAGTTTTCACTCACAATAATTGAAACAGCCATTGGTGGATAGATGGTACAGAATATGGACAACTGTTAGCCTAATATAGCCTATGTTTGGTTGCTCATGATGATGGCATTTTCCATAATGTCACATTAAGCTGCCAAAATTTATGTTAAAGTTAGATGAGTACAATATCTCCTTTCTTTCCCATAGGTAAACATAGGAAATATTAAGCAATTGACAACCCACATGGAAAGAATTCATATAAACATATAGGTTTTAATATATGTTTTGATATAGCTTTTAAATATATGTGACATATATAAAACTGGCTGTTTATTATAGATACATATATGTACCTATAATATAATATATATATATTATAGAAAAAATATATAATATAGAAAAATGGTCAATAATATACACATTCGGCCATATTCTGATTCAGGTTTGTAGTGTGGAGTGATTTTTGTGCCACCAACTGGAGCGTGCAGTGATCAATCAGCAGGAGCACAACTTGCTCTGCAGTCATATGCGGCCCTCTCTCTGCATGCTCAACTCCGTCTCTGCCTGCACAAATCTCACTGTTGTTGCTCAATTTGCAATTTACAAAGCAATGTAGCCTCTCCGTCAGCCAATCAGACAGCTCTCCATTATGCAATCAAAGCATGTCCAGGAAATACTGCCAGGAAAATTGCACTTTTTTCAGATAAAGAGGACTTTATATAATTATATTTAATTAGGTTGATTAACCCTCCTCTTTTCCTGGGACATTTCCACTGTTCACTTCCTTTTACACATCAAGGGATCATTTATGTCTGACCAAACAGAGAAGAAACACTTTATATGTTGAAATTAAAAGTCCTCTTTAACTGAAAATAGTGCAATTGAACAGTTTTAGGAATGGGCAATGTGTCTTTTCTGGAAGTCAAATATGGTCACTCTAATCATGACACATGAATTACAACAAAGTATCTTGCAGGCAGTGGATGGTGACTGGTAGCTAACCAGCAGCAGAAAGCAGTTCATTTAGCTGTTAAATGGGTGTTTTTCTGTAAAGCAGTATTTCCTGGACATGCTTTGATTGGATAAAACAGAGCTGTCTGTGATTGACTGTTGGAGAGGCTACTTGTTGAGGAGAGCAGGGAGAGATTTGCATCGCAGAGACAGAGTTGAGCCCACAGAGGGCTCTAGCTCCTGCACACAAGTGCAGAGCAGATTCTGTTTGTGCAGACTCATTACTGTACGCTCAAGTTGGTGGCACTAAGTCACTCAATGAACTGGCTGGCTCGTTAATCACGTCACTTCAGGGGAGTTTTCCGACCATTTAACTATGGCGCGGCTTTTCATTATGGTTTGCGGCATGTAAACATGCTAGCGGAGTTAGCATTAGCATGTCGGTGCGGTAACATTTTCCTCTCTCGTCTGAACTATAACCTTGAAATATTAACGGTGTGCTGCTGTTGCTGTCTTACCCTAATGTGATGTTGAGTGACTTACAAGAGCGCTGAGCAGTGTTTGCTCATCGATATAAAGGTTTTGCTGTATAACCCCTGCCCCTGACTTGTCAACAAAGCTGCCGGGCTTAAGGGGAGGAAGTCCTTTCTTGATACTTCCTGTGTGCGACGGTGTAGTTCTATATTCATTAATTATTATTTCTGTTTCAGACAAAAAAAAACTCATGTACCAACTACACGTGTCGTGATTGTGTTGAGCATGTAGATGTGAACAAATAAAAAAAAGTTAACTGAAAAAATAAAATAAACCAAAATGATAGGGGGGCTTGTGATTATTTTAGGGGGGCTGAAGCCCCCCTAAAACGGACCTAACGACGTCAGCGCCTATGATAAACCTCTACAATGGAAAGAGTGATTTGTAATGCCCACTTGGCAGCATGACTGTCTGGAGCTAGAAGTTCTACATAAAGCTGCGTTCAGCATCTGGATAACTCCTCAGGCAAGCTATAGATATATCTGGCATTCATTCAAAATCTGGATTTGCCAGTACATCCTGGTGCATTACGTGCGTGCACCGACATTCATCTTGTTTTCCTCATCCAACAAGAATATTAGCTGTAGCTCGAGCTAGATTCAGCACTAGCTCAGAATGGCATTAGCAATGGCACGGCCTAGATTTAACAGTAGCTTTGGCTAAATTTACCAGTGGCTCAGGATAGATTTAGCAGTAGCTTGTGCTAGCAGTAGCAGTAGTTTAGGCAAATTTTAGCAGTAGCTTGGGCTAAATTTAGTATTAGCTCAGGCAAAATTTAGCTGTAGCCTGTAAAAAGGTTGGCAGTAGCTTGGGCTAAATTTAGCAGTGGCTCAGGATAGATTTAGCATTAGCTCGGGCTAGCATTGGCAGTGGCTTGGGCTATTTTTAGTATTAGCTTGGGCTAAATTTAGCAGTAGCGTCGGCTAAATTTAGCAGTAACTCGGGCCAAATTTTGCAGTTGCTCGGGCTACCATTAGCAGTAGCTTGCTTGGGCCAAATTTAGCAGTAGCTTGCGCTAGAGATAGCAGTAGCTTGGGCTAGTATTGTTCAGCAGTTAGCATTACCGCGATCAGTAATATCTTGTTGATGAGACCATTTGGTAAATTTGACACTCTGAGCTGCCTAAGTTCACCAGCTACAAGGAAAATGTGATTTCAAATTCTAGAACCCCTTTAAAACAATTAACAACAAGAACAAAATGAATAGTTATGCTTACTTTTTACAATTTTTATCTATCAAATGTTGAATAATACAAGTATTTAAGTAGACAGCGTTTTTTTTTTAACTTTAGGTAGACTCATTTATAAACACAGATTTAACCAAACAAGACAGATTTTAAAACAAATTCTTATTTGCAGCTGTGGACTGGTGACACATCTAATCAGACTCAGTTCTGACTTTTTTAATTAATCTGCACATTTTCAATTAAGACTGTTTTATTCACATAAAAAATATGAATAAATCCCAAAGCCTGTATTTATAAGTTCATGTGGCTTTTATTTCACTTTTAAAAAAGTTTTCTTCATATCCCTGAGGGCAAAAGGGAGAAGGTGCCATATGTTATATGTGGTTTTATTATACATTAAAGGAGTGATAAAGTTGGAATCTGAAGGGATTTTAGAGAAGTAACTACAGAGACACGCTGGAAACATTAAAGGTGCCGTTGGAAGGAAAAACGATCTGAAAAGCTGGGAGATCATGGGAAGCAAGGATCTTTGTGTTTAGGATGAGGTTTAGCAGAGCTTGGCCTGGTCTGGTCCCTTTATGAACACACACACACACACACACACACACACACACACACACACACGCACACACACACACACACACACACACACACACACACACACACACACACACACACACACACACGCAGTTCAGCATAAACCAGCCCTTTCTTCTTTTTATGACTGGTTCTGTGGTTGCTGATCCTTCAGACCCATACACACACACACACACACACACACACACACACAGTTGCACCTGTCCCTGACATGGCTCAGCGGGAAGAGGCGTGGCCTTTGGCACCATTCCTGCCTACATTTAATATGCTTCATCTCCATAGCAACACTTGTCACAGTTTCACCCCACCATTTGCTCTTATCGGTGTGTTTCTGCAGAAAGTGAAGTAACGTCTGTCCCAGTTCCTTTTTCACCTGAGGACACAGATGTTTAGATTGTGACGGACACTAGATCAATTAAAGGCAATAGGTAAAAAACCGAATCTGATCTGGAAGTCGGGAATTCTCATCTGCTGATTTGGAAATTGAGTGCTTTCAAATGAAGAATTATTGATAGAATAAATATAAACACAAATAATTGTGAATGATTAAACCTGTAGAGGTTTAATACCATCTGGTAGGATGATGATGTAAATCAACACTTTCTAACATTTTTCTAATCAGATTTTTAGTAATTTGCTTGTTTTGGACACTTTTGGAAGGAATTCAGACCCAAAAAAATTACCTTTGCTGTCTTACTAAATTTGTATTGTTGTAACTGTAAATACAACTACTTGTAACCCCTCTATTTGACTTTGAAGACAGTCTATAAAAATAAATGAAAGGGATGCTGAGGGTGTTTAGTTGCTTATATTGAAAGTTAGGTCAAGGAGACATACCGGTTCTATTGCCGAGTCACTTCCCATCAAAGTGTCACATTTGGACCGAGCCCAGAACTGTAATTATTCTCTGCAGACCTCATTAGAGTAGATACAGAGAAACACACACAGCAAAGCAGCTGTCAGCCAAACTCAGACATCCCCAAACCGATCTTATCAGATCAGCTGCTTCTGTCACGTAAGCTTCAGGTACACAACCTAATGATGTTTTATCTTTTCTTCCCAAGGATTTGGAAAACCTTCTGTTCATGTTTTCCAAGTCACCTCTCATTTCATTTTATAGCTCAGGTTTCGGGTTTCAGAGTTCAGGCCTGAGGTCAGTATAGGGCCCCCTCAGCGTGGGGCGCTAAAGTTGGGTGAGTCGTTGACCCGACCTTCCATGAGGTTAGGAGTTTGGATCTGAGGTGTGACTGGTTGTAAAAGCACCTGGAGAGAAGAGTCCAGGCTGAATTCTTAGTGTTGCTGGGTTTAAAAGGTACCAGAAGATCTTCCATCTTTCATCTGGTTGGTTTTATTTTCTTATTGGGTTTTTTAGTTTCCTGGATGCAGTAACGTCAGTCCATTTGAGGTACCCATATGGTTGAAGTGACTCGTTATGTAGTTCTTGTTCCTTGTGAGGACCAGTTTGGCTCAGTTCTGCCAACATCTGAAAACTTCTAGTTTAGGTTTCAGGGAGTCTTGAGATTCAAAAATAAATCCTGGTTTGTGGTCAGTTTCCAGTAAACATCTGTTAAGGCTTCCATCTCAGACGGTGGACCAGATAGTTGAGGAAAGGACGTTTGTTGTCTTTGGCATCCTCTGGTGAATTTGATGCTTTCATTTGCTGTGTTGAAATAAAACTTCTGCTTCTTTACCTTGAACTTTGACCTGGGGTAACGTCTGCATATCTGAACAGCAGCTAGGTGTTGTAAACACTGGAGTTCTCAGATCTGCTCTCCAACTTTTATTGCCTTTATGCCACAGTGGGTACATTTGTAGATGTTCATGCATCTGTCTAGTTGCTGGGGGGACAAAGATCCAAGAGGATGAAGATATGGTCTTGGAGTTGGTCCTGTGTTGAACCGGTTTGTCTTGTTGGAGATGTTTATTGATGGTTTGCACTGTGTGTGATACAGGTATATCTCAGTCTGAAATAAGGGATTCCTCAGGAGCCAGATTTGTTAGAAGATAACTCCGTATTAGGCCTGGGTGGTATGGTAACAACATTTTCACATCACGTTTAAAAAAAATATATATTATTATTATATCAGTTTTACGGTATTTAACGGTATTTTTCACAAGGCTGTGATTACCCAGATTATTTTATAAGAAAATAATTACTGCACTAGATTAGCCTTAAATAGCCCATTTTACCTTCATGTGCAGAATACCAATTTTCCATGTCCAGTCACAGGTACTGCTACTAGCCGTTTTAGTCTTAGAGGTGGAGGGTGCAGATCGAAGCTTGAGACATTCTTGGTATTCCAAGAGACACATCCGAACTTTTAAACCTGAAAAACCTCCAAACAACAGATGTGGCTCCTCTTTTTGGAATAAGTTCTTCTGCGTTCGAAGTTTCGATGTTGCCGTGACAGCTCCCTGCCAGGCGCCATTCTTGGTTTCACCACGCTGTGGTGTTTGTGTGTCGTAGTGAAATGAGTCCCCGCTGAAACACTTTCCTACTACGAACGTTCTGTACATTGTCTAGGCCATTCACCGGTATAGTGGTATGTAAAAAATTCATGTCATAACCAAAATAAACACCGGTTTTTGGTATGAACCGGTATACCGCCCAAGACTGCTCAGTATGAACTATCGTCACCTACCAGTGGTGCTAATGTGTCAGCAAGGTGTTTTATACCCAAGCTGATTATTTATAAATGGGAGTGTCCTCTCAGGATATAGTCCGTAGTAAATGCCTTGATCTATCTCTTTAGTGTCTCCTGGCATTAGTTATTTGTGTCCATCATTGGTAGCAGTATCACTTAAAGGTGTGGTTCACTGAAAAAAACATTTTTTAATGATTATTTCTGAATAAAATAGATCACTGTGGAGTTTTCATGAAGGCTGAACATGAAAATAGTCTCTTACTCCTATCTCATGCATTATCTTCTGTTAGAAAATAGACGGTAAAAGGCTAGGATTGAAAAAGCTTGACAGAGCTACATAAAGCGGTCACTTGGACTCACCCTAACTGGCTCTGTCAGAGAAGACTGTTGTTGTTTTAGCGTCCAGAATCAGCAGAGGACATCTGGGCTAACCGTTAACATTAACAGCTCAACCACAGGCAGAAGCTCCTCCAGGCTTGTGTTATTTGTGGAGATAAAACATCCATGTCGCAGAGCAAACAGTGGTAGAGTCATGTTGTTGTTATCCAGTCAGAGGTAAGATGTCCAGATATCAGGAAATAAGACTCTCCTTTGATGCGGCAGACTTGTCCTTGCTGATCCAAGCATTTCTGGGCTTTTTTTACCCTGAGTATGGCTTGCAAGGCATTCATTCCAACCAGAGACCACTGCAAATGTATTGATTAAGCAAGTTTCCTGCACCTTTGATGTGGACAAGTTCTTGTCATAGTATATGTTGAGTACAACTCTGGGATAGCTGTGGGCCAGCTATCAAAAAGAGGACATTCTTGTCTTTGTTGATGGATAATCTAGTCTTCTTTTTGTAGAATGTAAGGTAGGAAGCAGAATATTTTTTACTGGAGTGAGACGCTTAGTTGCTCTGCCTCTTCCTCTGCATGTTTGTTGTTTCTTGTTGCCCTGGTCATCAGGAGGTCCAGAACTGGTATTTATTTAAAGAGAAAGCAAAATGAAGTACTTTAGCCAAAACTAACTTTTCAGGTGGTGTTGGTCTGAGTTCTTACATCCAGAAACTACATGATGTGGGGTCACCAAGATCTGAATGAATTACATTAACCATAGATATCCAAAGGTTATATTTAACTTTGGATGGGACAGGGAGAAATCATTATCTTATAAGATGCCATGAAATAAGCTTTGCTTACTCAAATGTTTTATTCCAAATCATGTGTCGCCTCCTAGTGGTGAAAGTTAACACCATCAGATGAAAATTCTGGTTTCCTTTTTGTAGAAAAATGTGTCCAAACAAATTTAAATTACCCCAAACATGACTCCATAATCACAAACATAAACAGGTCTAATCCATTATTTTATTTATCATCAAAAGAAAAATAAAACATTATTTTTCTTCTCAACTCTGCAGCGTGTTTAATGCTCCTCTGCTGCTGAAAGGATCCTCATCCACGTGTGTTTGTGTCTTTAGTGAAGGAGGAGTGTGTGTCAGACGAGGAAGAGGAGGTAAAGGATGCTCTAGTGGAGGAGATCCTCCAGCAGGGAGACACAGCCATCATTTATCCTGAAGCACCTGAGGATGAACAGAGTCCTGCAGAGACCGGAGACGCTGATGAAAACGGTAACAAGTCGCCGTTTGTGTGAGACTTAGCCACGGCATCTTTTAGAACTAAGTTATATGTTTGGCTTTTCATTTCTTCCTTCCTATAAAATTATTGATATTTAGTTTTTTTTTATTAAGGTTTAAGTGTTTTTATTTTGAAAAGGCTATTTAAAACATCTGAAAACTGATTGTTTTGTTTTAATAAAATTATAATGTTGCCCTGAAAACAAATTATAAAATCATTTGTTTTACATCTTTGCAACTTTTTCCCCAATAAGTTAGTACATATATTACATTTTTACTTCATATTCCTGCAAATTTTAGTTAACGAAATCATATTCCAACAGAAAAGGTTAAACTTAGAGTCATCAGGCTGTGGAGTTTAGGCGTCACCATGAACGTCTCTCTCTGTCCTGCCTTCACCTCCACAGGAACACCCGACCCCTTCTCCCAGTTGCACACTTGCCCGTACTGCTCTCGGGGCTACAAACGCAACGCCTCGCTGAAGGAGCACATTAAGTATCGCCACGAGACCAGCGAGGACAACTACAGCTGCTCCCATTGCAGCTACACCTTCACCTACCGCTCGCAGCTGGAGAGGCACATGAGCCACCACCGAGGCAACAGGGAGCAGGTAACACCTCGGAGCCCGGAGGCGTCAGCTCACACGTTTTAACGAGGCCACAGCGTGCCAAAGTGAGACTGGAATCAGCTTTAATGTCTCCTGTTTTCTGTCTCAGCGTCACGTTTCCCAGTCAACAGGAGGATCAGGAGGAACAGGTGGAACCCGCAAGTTCAAGTGTAACGAGTGTTCCAAGGCCTTCAAATACAAACATCATCTAAAGGAGCACCTGCGCATTCACAGTGGTGAGAGTCGCACAAACACGCCACTGAGTACTCGAGCCACTCGTGTCTTTAATCACAGTCTGAAACACTTGGATAGTTATACCATTGACCCAGCCATCACCATTTCATTTGAACGTGTTTGGATTCAGGTGAGATTATAGTTTTCATTGCTAAGGCCCAAAAATGGTGATAATTTAATGATGTTGGAGTAACTTAGCCTGGCCTGCCAGACTCGTCCTCTGTTTAATTCTGCACAGAGAAAGTCTGGTAACTCACAGGCAGAGAGGCACTTGAGGGGCGGGACTAGCCAGCTCAAAGTAACCAATCAGAAAAAAGATGGAAATCCCGACTACCACATGACGCTGTAGTTTTGTAGTTGTAGTTTAAAAAAAGGCATCTGGCAACGGCGCAAACATCTTTTATTTTTTTTTTGGAAGAAAAGCTTTTAGCTCTTCTACCTGTGGTTTTAAAGACATTCTAGTCATTAAGAACAGAGGAAAGAGCCGCATTGAACTCCGCCGCTGTCTTTGTTGTTTATGAGGAACTCGCTGTGTGTTCGTGACGCTGTAGTTTTTAGCTGTATTAAAAATGGAGTCTGGCGACAGCACAATCATCTTTCTTTAGAAGAAAGGCTTTTAGCGCTTCTAATTGTGTCCAAGTCATTTAGAACAGAGGAAAGAGCCGCAGCGAACTCCGCTTCAGTCGTCATGTTCGACAAACTCATTGTTATGGTGTGTGATGTACGCTACTCAGCGCTGATTGGCTCTGTTAGAATTCTCACAGGGTGGGGTTATATGAGTAGGAGAGCTCCCAGACTCTTTCTCTGTGCAGAATTAAACAGAGGAGGAGTCTGGCAGGCCAGGCTAGGAGTACCTGGTGCACAGTCCTACTTTGGACTGCACGTAACTGGGTGCTAATTTTACTTATTTCCTTTAGAAGTTAGATGGTACAACGTGAAGCTAAACTAAATCAAGAGAGTAAACCTGAGGATTCTATGCAGGCACAGATGGGGAAGTGTGGGCCTATTTCCATATCCAGTATTGCATTGCTGATAATATCGGATGTCTCTAAAATCTAATATTGTAAAAAACTATCTAAAATTAATTTATACTAAAATTATTTTCATTTACCAGTTTTGAAAATGTAATAGGGGCAGCTGTAGCTCAACAGGTTGAGGGGGCTGTCCAGTAATAAAAAGGTTGCAGGTTCGATCCCGGCTCCGGACAGAGAATTCTGCTGTTACGTCCTTGGGCAAGACACTTAACCCACGTTGCCTGCTGGTGGTGGTCGGAGGGACCGGTGGCACCTGTGCTCGGCAGCCCCACCTCTGTCAGTGCGCCCCAGGGCAGCTGTAGCTCCCATCGTAGCTCATCCCCACCAGGGTGTGAATGTGTGTAAAGCGCTTTGGAGTCCTTACTCTGAGAGGCGCTATACAAGTGCGGGTTATTTATCATTATCATTTATACTTTGTCAGTTTATTGATTTGTTTGATTACATTTATTTAGATGTCTGGCTTTAACACCGAGCAGTGCACAAAAACATTTAATAAAAACATTTAATAGTTGGATAAATTCTGAGTTCAAAAACTGATTCAGCTCCAAAAATGTTGTGCACCAGCTGATGTTATTTGTGACGTTTTAGCAAGAAAGTAAAGTGGAAAACGTCTAATATTGGCCACGAAAATTGGACCTTAAAAAATCTGCATTGCACATCGGCCGTCAGCTGATCATGTCGGTGTCGACAATAGAAAAAACAATATTGGTCGACCTCTACTCCTAACCTCCAGAAACAAATCCACAAATGGCAACTAGATGGAAGTAGGTATCTGTTAACATCGGCCCAGTTATACCCATCGAAGCCATACCAACATGGCTCGGCTTCTACTGATGCTGAGCCCTAGAGGATTCCTCGTCTTTATTCTAATTTCACTCTTAACACATTTTCTGCACTCTGGCCCCTCCAGGTGAGAAACCATACGAATGTTCCAACTGCAAGAAGCGGTTCTCCCACTCAGGTTCCTACAGCTCCCACATCAGTAGCAAGAAGTGTGTTGGTGCCATCCCCCCCAACGGTGTGTCGGTAGCGGTGGTTAAATCTTCATCCCCGACCACACAGACTAAACCTGTCGCAATAGCTCCAGCCCGCACCACTATCAAGGAAAAGACTGAAAGTAAACCCCTCCAGGAGCAGCTGCCCATCACCCAGATCAAATCAGAACCTGTGGAATACGAGTGTAAGCCTGTCATGGCGGCACCAGCAACTTCAGCTGGTAGCAAAGTAGTCGTGAACGGAGGGATGGCGCAGCCGGCTGCGGCCCCCGCTGCCCCCCTGCCTCAGGGCGTTGCTATGGTTGTACCAACAGTCGGTCTGATGTCGCCTGTCAGCATCAATCTAAACGACTTGCAGAATGTGCTGAAGGTGGCGATGGATGGAAACGTGCTGAGGCAGGTGCTGGGCTCAGCCAACGGGGTGGCGACTCAGGGGAAGCAGGGCATCGTTGTCCAGCAACCGCAGCAGCAGATCATCAGCCTGCCCGCCTTTGTGGACCACGACGGTACCACCAAGATCATCATCAACTACAGCATCAGCCCCACGGCCGGCACTGCTGCTACTACCCTGCCGACACCGCTCATTATTAAAAACAACTCGCCACCCGCCCTCGCAGTCACGACAGCAGCCGCCGCTCCCCCCACTCCAACCAAAACAGATCAGTCCCCAACCCCAGAGGCCACCGACCTCTCTGTCCGGAAAGAACCAGAACACGTCAAAGACGAGGGGACAGAGGACCCTGAGGACGCATCAGCGCCTGCTGAAACAGAAGAAGTGGCTCAGATCTCAAAGGCCAGCAGCTCCAGTATGTGTTTATTATGCGACGACTGCCCCGATAATCTGGAGGCGCTGCATCTCCAGCATCACAAAGCAGCCAACGGCGAGGCCGCGGACTCTGCTGCTTTAGACCCATCATTCGCTGATCTACTTAGCGAGGCGGGGGTGACGCTGGAGGAGCCGCCTGTAGACGACCTCATCTCTCTCCTCAAAACCTACTTTGCCTCCAACGCCAACCCCAGCGAGGAGGAGCTGACCAAGATCTCCAACTCTGTCAGTATTCCAGTGGAGGTGGTGACAAAGTGGTTTACTAAGATGAACTCTGGGGAAAAGGTGGAAGAAAGCCACAGTGAAGCTACGGATGCTTCTGAAAAGACCGAAACCACAAATTCCAGCTTGGAGAACCCTCTGATTCACGCTGAAGAAGAAGAAGACGACACCACGCAGGAAGAATTTATCCAAGCTGTGCCAGGCAGCGCTTCCCCCACAGACTCCACATCGCTCAGTCTCAGCGAGGATCTTGTTATCGTTAAAAGTGAGCCAGAGGACCCGGAGGCCATAGACTCTCAGGCAGAACCCCTGGACCTCTCTCTTCCCAAACAGAACCCTTCACCATCAGAAAGGAAAACCACTCCCCCTCCAGCAAAGCAGCAGGACCAGCCTCTGAACCTGACGTGCTTAAGGAAGGAGCAGGTGGACGGGAGAACCATCTACGTCACGGCGCCTCAGACAGGGAACCCCGTCAACATTGTCACCGCCGCACAGCTCCCCACCTTGGTAGCCATCGCTGGTCAGGGAACAGTGGGCTGCCTCAGTGCCATCAACGCCACAACAAAGCGCACCATCCTCATCCCCCAACTCACCTACACCTATGCCACTACAGCCGGCAACAGCACCGGGGCCAAGACCGTTGTACTCAACGGCCACAAGGTGGGTCGTGTTGCACTTCGAGGTCGGGTCTAAACATTTGATGTGTAGGGCTTTAAACCTTTTCTGTCCTGTGTGGCAGGAAAAACGTTCAGAGAGCAATGCTGATGCCGTTTCCACTGCAGAGGAGCAGGAAGCCAAGAAGAGGCGGCTGGAAAACGGAGTCTATCCCTGTGATCTGTGCTCCAAGGTTTTCCAGAAGGGCAGCTCGCTGCTCAGACACAAATATGAACACACAGGTAGTCCTCCAAACAGCCGCGCTTACATGTCCTGTCTGTGAATAAAACACTGAGTGGTGTTAAAAACACTTCCTAAGCGTTAACCCCTATAAGGTTATATTGCATGTAAACAGTGGACAGTACTTCATATACAGGTGCTGGCCATAAAAGTTGAATATCATGACAAAGTGGATTTATTTCAGTAATTCCATTCAAAAAGTAAAACTTGGATATTAGATTCATTTTAACACACAGACTGAATGTTTCAAATGTTTATTTCTTCAATTTTGATGATTATAATTGACAACTAATGAAAATCCCAAATTCAGTGTCTGAGAATATTAGAACATTGTGAAAAGGTTCAATATTGAAGACCTCTGGTGTCAAAACACCTGCAAAAGCCTTTAGATGGTGTCCAAACGATGACCAGATACCTTACACAAGAAGGGAAGGACAAGATGTGGTAGAAAAAAATGCACAAACATCCTTAGATAACCGCACGCTGGAGAGGATGGTGAAACAAAACCCGTTCACAGATGGGAGGGAGATTCACAAAGAGTGGACTGCAGCTAGAGTCAGTGCTTCAAGACCCACCACGCACAGACGTGTTCAAGACTTGGGTTTCATTTTTCCATCTGTCAAAGTCCTGAAGCCAGCAGACAGTAACTTTGTGTTTGGCTTATTTGTTTTTATAAAGAAATAAAACAAAACAGGATTTTTGCTATTCCAGATATTTTAAAGCTGTGTAGTACACCACTTAAAAAAAGTGCAATTGGTGAACAATTTAAGCTCCAATTTTAAAACCGGACTGTTTATTTAATACATTGTAAGAAAAATGTAGTTTTAAGTAAATTAGCTTGCTAGTTTTTATCAGTACTCTTTAGTTTTGACTGTTTGTTCTTGTGCAGGAAAACGGCCTCATGAATGCAGCATCTGCAAAAAGGCTTTCAAACACAAACACCACCTGATCGAACACTCGAGGCTTCACTCCGGGGAGAAACCTTACCAGTGTGACAAGTGTGGGAAGCGGTTTTCCCACTCGGGCTCTTACTCCCAGCACATGAACCACCGCTACTCCTACTGCAAAAAGGAGGGCTCGAACCTGAGCTCCCCTTTGGGATCACGTAGGGTCCAGTTAGAACTCGGCAGCCCCGGTGCCGGACTCCAATCGGACAGCCGGACCACCACCCCGCCTTCTCCGATGGACTCAGACGAGAGAGAGAGCGAGGAAGAGATGGATGAGGATGATGAGGCCATTTGCATGGATGACATCCGAGTGGTGCAGGTGGACGATGGGGAGTGTGAGATTTATGAAGGAAACTTTGATGATGACGATGATGATGATGATGACGATGATGAAGAGGAGGGGGAGGTTTTGGCAGAAGAGGAGGCAATGGCGGATGAAGGAACTCAGCACGTCAGGTCGCAGGAGGAATTTGCTTGTGACGTGGTCGAAGTGGAGTTGGGGAATAATCAAGCGGAAGAGAAGAAGGAATCAGCAGGTGAAGCGGAGAGAGCAGCAGACTGTGAAGAAGACACGGACAGCATCAGGGAGGGCTGTGATGGTGCTCGGCCACCAGAGGAGGTGGTGTCAAACAAATGAAGGAAAGAACTCTTCAGAATCTTCGGCCATCAACGCTGTTTTCAGACAAAAGAGGCAAGTCTCAGAAGATGCCTAAACTAAACGGTCCACTACTGTGTACAAAAACCCAGGTGTGCCTGAACTTAGACAAAAAACACAAGACAGTGACTTTTATTTGTGAAAAATGAAATATCGGTGTTTAAAACTGTTTATAGAAGTACAGATTTTGAAGTAGTACCAACCCATCGACTTGTTAGACTTGTTACTGAGACCTTGGGTCGTTTTGTTTCTTTCCACTCAGCCAGTCAGTGTTACTAACCTTGTTCTTGTTTGAAAACATTTTAACCTGTAAAGAGAAAGATTTCTATACCTTTTTATTGCCAATGAAGTTTCCTAAGAATCAGTATTTTATTGAGTTCTACGAACAAAAACCTCTGCACTACAGTATTCCTAGTTTACCTACGGATACATGCCTCATGCATCGTAAACCCTTCAGTGTTATATGTGTACACTAGCTAGCGATATGTTGTTCGTGTTAGCATTAGTCTCTGCTAGCTAGCATCACGTTTTTGTTTTCAGTTCGACTGTTAGCCTTAAGAGAAACAAAGTATTCCTGGGGCGGGTTGTGGGCGGGACGGGGAGTCCCGGGTGAGAAGGCGACTTCTTTATGCCATAACCAAATTAGTCCAGTCAGGGAAGAAAAAGATCGCAACCTCAAAGCCAGCATCAAGCGCTTTTGTTTTGCTACCCAGCACAGCCTGGACGGCTGGAGTCTCCAGAGCAGATTCTGTCCTCCAGGCTGGGCTTCAGGTCCGAAACACACACACACACACACACACACACACACACACACACACACACACACACACACACACACACACACACACACACACGTGCTGAGTCCTACCAAGCTTCTTCTTTTGATGTTGTCCCAGTGTTTCCAGCTTATAAACGAAGTCATGTGTCTGTGAAGGATCAGGGCTGTTTCCTGCTCCACCCCGATGCCTCCAGCCTTATGCAAGACCTGTGTGCTGTTAAAGTGCCATTGAACAGTATTATTTCTTCTTCTTCACACATGTAGCCAGTATTACTAACACAGGACCATGTTGATTCATGTTTGTTCACTTGCACAGAACAGCAAACTTGTCACAACTCAAGGGTCTTTTTTTTTAATGAACCAACAAAGTTGGGAAACTGCTAAAGATTTGTCTGTAGAACGTTTCTCTACTAATGACAAGACTTTTTCATCTTCCAGTGTGTTTGTTTTATCTCGCGAAACTCAAGATTATATTTATTTAATAACTCAAATGTGATAAAAACCTGCAGATGATCCAAAAAGGGTTTGAATCATTAAGAACAGACGCAGCAGCAGTGTGCTGCCTTACCTTTTCCTTGGAGGCTTACGGAAGAACCTCTAGAGAAGCTCTGACTTTCTGCTTTTCAAACAGGAAAACTATTGTGTGAGCTCATCTTTTGACTCATTTCTGCCTCCTTTCGTCATCTCTTACTTCCTGCTACTAGAAAGTACTTGTTTTGAGGGAGAAAGGACCGATGTGGGGTTGTAATCCAAATTTTGCTCACGTCTGTGTGAGTTTTAGCATTTGTGACGTCTAAAAATGGCCAAAACTTGAGAGAAAAACATCTTTTGATCTAAACTGTTTCCCAGACTGAGCTTTAGCTGAATGCACTTTGTGCATCCAGAGTTTTACTTAATCAAACTACAAATACTATAAATGTATCCGTTGTTGCTGATAAAAAGAAACTGGATTGTGACAAGCTGTCCCGCACTTCAAGTAACAAATGTCGGTGAACGTGGTTCCTGAGGAGTTTTTACCCAACAGTGTTCCTAGTATTTGTTTTTCTTCTGTTCCCGTTTGGGATTATATTATTTTTCTGTATGTTTGTTGCCATTAATTACAGTATTAGAGCCCTTTTCACAGAAAAACTAAAACTTAAAAAAATTCTGGTTTAGTTTTGAGAAGACTTTTTTATATTTATGTGTCTTATTTTTCTATTTTCTTTTATGGTTATTTATTACATATTGTAGTGTACATTACTGTAGTATGAATTGATACAATAATATATTTTAGTATGAAAAATACTCTTTAGACAAACAGGGATCCCAAAAAATGTGGCTCTGGGAGCTAAAGCTTGTTTTAACAATAAAAAAAAGAAAGAACTAAAAAGCTGAACTGTGTACTCTGTAAACTTGACTTCTGTTTAAGCTGAGAAAATTTTAAAAAAGGAATGAAATGAGAAACAAACTGTTACACGTGCATCTGCTCTCTGCGTTGTTACTAAGCTACTGAATTCTGTGACTTTAAAAGCATGTCGCTGTTTTTAATGAAGGATCTTGTCATCAAGTCGTTTCTTCTCCCCTTTTTATTTTGATGAAGCCAAATTTGCATCGTCCCGCCGCTCCGTCTTCTGTTCTGTGCCAACTTTGAACTTTCCGTTGTGCTGTTGAAGGCTGCATAATGTTTGTCTATATGACCCCTTTGTAAATCATTGTCTTTTTGTATTGTTTGTATTGTTTTTATTTAGGTTTGCTCCATTTTTATGACTCCCCATCACAATAAAAATGTAAGACAAAGTGAGCATGGCTTCATTTCCATAAGAATATGCAGGTGTGGTATTATTGAATATTACAACAATATCAGTTGTAATGAACCCACATTCATCATCTCTGGCACAATCATCTGACTCAGATGTGGACGATAAGAATCCATCGATTATTGGAATGAATGAAAAAGAGAAACTTGATTTTTCAGAGTCCCAGCTGCTGGTTGCAATGATGAAATAGCAATAAAACATTTCTGTTTTCAGTGGTGACTGTACATGTAAGCTGTGCAACACCACATATGAAATAAACATTTTGCCCGTGTGAAATTTTAACATGGCAGAACATGTTTTTAACATGAAATGTATTGAAAAACACAACCACTTGTGTTTTGCACACATTTTCCACGTGAGTTTGGAGCATTTCTAAGTGTGAAAACTTGTCAGGCTTCTTTGATGGGAGCGTGAGGTTTGGTGAAATCGGTGTTCGATTACTCATCCTCGTGACGTCATTTCAGTGTTTTTTTTGTACCCACAAACTGAATTTGTATAAGCGAGTATATGTACAGTCTATGATTTGTATCCACATCCAGAAAAATGTCAGTCACAGAAATGTCATTTGTATTCACAAGCATTGTCACTCACAGCTTTTAGATTCGTACTCACATTTAAAAAATCCTAATCTTCACAATTTTCAAACTCACAAATATGGCAGCAGAATTTAATGTTCAACACTTATTAGAAGACAAACATACAAATACAAATTTTAGAATCCTACACACACCTTTTGACAGCTATCTTACACGATAGATAGCATGCTAGAAGCAGACCCCAAAGGCTTTGGCTAAGGTGGAGAGCCCTTTCCCCCCCCTCCATCCCTGTTGTACATAGATACATACTGAAATCATAGCTGTTGCTGTAAGATGTATTTATTTGTTTTCATTTTATATGGGAACAAAGCAACATCTCCGTCCATTTCTATGTTGTGTTAGTGCCACCTACTGGCGTGGCTGAGTATTGTGCTTTGTGCAAGATGATTAAAAGTTGAACATGGAACGTGGCCACTCTCGCGACATCTAGTGTTTGGAGGTAGTAGCTGCAACAACAAAAACACTTTCCCGTCGGGATGTTGGATAGTGACCAGCCAGCACCATGTTCGGAGACAAATCATACAGAATAAGGATTAATTTCTACTAATACGTTAATTTTACAACAGTCTTTACTGTTAGAACATCTTTTTTGCTCAGAATCAGCTGTCAAGTTGTCAAGTCCACCACTTTACAGTCCCAGCCTCACCTTGCCAGCAGACTTTTTAGCGCAACGGTGCCCGCTAGTGGCTGGTAGATGTAAACACAAAGCCAGTGTCGTGCTGACAAAATAAAAAATTGATCATTTTATATTTGCTAATATAGCTTTTAAAGGAAAAACTGCACATTCATTCTGCACACCTCTAAACGCCCCGTGGATGTATTCTTTTTTAAAATATAAGTTTTTTAATAAAATGTCTCATTTTCCTCCTTTAACTGATGGCGGCTCGAAACTCAAGCAAGGAAACAAACGGACAAAACAAAATGTGAAAAGACAAAGATGTATATTATGGACTGCAGCTGCTCTTAAAGGCATACATGGTAGGCTTATATATTTATTTGAGTGTGATTAATCAGTAAGTTTATAATTTATTTTATCTGTAAAATCTACTAATTTGGAGAAGGAAAATTAATGATTGTTTTGGAACTTTGGTCATTTTCCAAATGTAATTTTAATACTTATAATGGACTCAGCCTCAGAAGGGAATAGTTCATTAATCGCTCCACTAAGAATTTATTTCACCACCCCCCGCTGCTGCAAATCACCTGTGTAACATGTTGACACATCTTCTTCATGTGTTATTCCTTGTGAGGAACATATTTCCATGAGGGAAATATAAGATGTGACATTTTGTTTGAATTTCAAAGACAACTTTAATCTTTGGGTTGGTCTTTAACATAAATCAAAAATAATCAGTCAGTCTCTTCATTCTGGTGTTAATAAATAGCTTCCATGAAAACATTTACAGTCTAATTTGAATAAATTCTAATAGTATCTTTGCATTTTGTTGCATTGTGGTTCAAACATTTAGAAAATAGTAAATGTTGCAACTATCATAGTTGGCATTATTATTATTATTATTATTATTATTATTATTATTATTATTATTATTATTATTATTAAATGAACTCATTCTGCCATTCAAGGCAATTTTAACATCCCAGCAATGCTTAGTATTTTTTCTACAATTATTTATAACTCACATTTTTGTTAAATATTGGAATAAAATTTTCCTCAATCCTTTAATGTCCTTGTATTATAATAATATTAATGTATATAAATGTCTTGTTCTGCTTCTAGATGCTATTCCCTTTTTATTTCTTTGTTCAGATGCAACTAGCACCTGAGTGTATTAATGGGTTAAATGTTGTTTGTTCTTTTGTTTAGTTTTGTTGTGGCTGACTTCTACATATCTATTGAAAAGTAAAGTAAATACATTTACAAAATAAATCTAACACACCTGATTGTTGTTGACAGGCTGAGGAGTTAATTTTACTCAGGTGCGCTGGATCCAGACCTTTTTCTACCACTAGGTGGCAGTAGAGGCCTTGTCTTTGTTGGTGGTTTGTTTAGGGACTTGACTAATAATAAATGAGGTTTTAACTGCAGCAGTTGGACATCCTTCTATTAAAATGCCTATAAAACAGTTATTGAAAGAAAAGAGAATACTCAAACTTGTTTTCTACCACTAAATTAATTACTTAACTATTCTGTGTTAAAACAAATCTTGTCTAAAAATGTATTCCAACATAAAACCTCCAGATTCAAATATGTTGATAGTTTTTTCATCTGTTAAAGGAAATTAAGTTGCTGTAAAGTATAAAACGAAACAAAAATTATTAATAGAAAAATCAATTTAGAGTTAACATCACATCTGATGCTCAGATGTGCCCTTTCCAAATGAACAAAATGGTTTATTCAAGATGATCCCAACAGAAGAATCAAGCGCTCCTGCTCTGCTGCATAAAGTTCCTGTGCAGCAGCTCATCTACAAAACAAACGTGTCGCTGACGTGCAGCAAAGCACGCGAAACATCAGACCTGTGATGTCTGGCAGTAATTAAAGCTCATTTCATGCTGCTCCACATCGTGATGCTGAATACGTCGAGCCGTTTGTCAGAATTAATTGGGCAGCTTTTAAGCACATCACACCTGTCAATCATGCAACAACCTTTCTGTCTGCGCGGGTCAGCGGCGCTAATGCTAACGAAGCTTGTGCTGCTGAAGCAGCACTTTAATGGATGTCTTATGATTAATTTCTGATCCACACTGAAACAGCAGGTCAGAAATTAAAACTCACACATAAAACATATAGTTAACAGGAGAGACACAGCAGAGTACTTTCAGGTTATCTTTCTAAAAAGTGGAGAAAAACTAGTGAAATATCTAAAGTAATTGTATGGTAAGTGTTAACTTAATGAATTAAAACCATTTTAGTATTATTTACGTACTCTTATTTTGGTTTATCGTTTATAGTAGATGACGTTCACCACAAACCAAAACAAACAACTGTACTTGCTTTTGGGACAATTTAAAGGTGCACATTTAATCAGTACATGTACAGTTGCCTCTCGTAGGAACGAATGCCTTGTAAAGCCTGATTTATACTTCTCCGTCAGCTCTGCAACAGTCGGAGAGACGCACACGGAGTGTCGGAAAGGTTTTCACATGCAAACTTCTGTTCAGCAGCGGAGCGTTGCAAAGCAAATCCCCTCCTGGACAACAGAGGGCATACCGATTTTCTGTGGTATCCTGCCGCCATAGCACTCGTGTATCCGGTTCACGATAGCGTATTTACTAATGTGTTTATATATTTCAGAGACTTTATGACACAGACAAGTTTATCCTTCATTCTCCTCCACCTCTTCATGCGGTCGCCACCTCTAAACCCACATTTCTGTCAACGTTTGCTTTGTGTTTTGTATTCATCACTCACGGGTGAATAAACGTTCATATTTTCTGACTTTTCTCACGATGTGTTCTTAAGCCCGTTCTGGGTCTGCTGCTAAATATCTTTTGACTTTTTAACGAGGCAACGGTGGTGTTGGTGAGGAATTTACAGGAAGTGGCATCCTGACCAATCACAAGCTTGCGGTCTCTGTCACTTTTGACAGATGATTAAAATTTCGGCCATGTCTCCGTCAGCCTCTGTGAGCCAGTCGGAGAGCCCTTGCACTGACGCATAATGGTGTTGCGAGTCTCTGCACCTACGCAGATGGTGAAGCATAAATCAGGCTCAATTCGTGCTCAGGGGAAACAAAGCTCCGGTGCGCCATTTTCAGGAACAGCACAGATGAGCGTCAGACGGCAGGGTTCGGAGTCTTACTTCCTGATATTTGGACATATATGTTTATGTTAATCTTTATGTATTTAGCAGACGCTTTTGTCCAAAGCGACTTACAAGTGATAATCGGCATATTGCTCCTCAGGCTAACAACAACAATAACAACAACAACTTGACATCAATCATGGAGAGGAGGGAACAAGGAGTGGACATTAGAGAGGGGGGGCGGGTGAAGGGAGGGTACTAGTTTAGAAGATGCTCTCTGAAGAGCAGGGTCTTCAGGAGTTTCTTGAACTGTTCTGATAGTGCTTGGTAGGTCATTCCACATTTATGGAACAATGCATGAGAAGAGTCTGGATTGTCCTGAGTGTGGTGTAGGCACTGCTAGCCGACGATCCTGTGATGCCCGTAGCGGCCGGGCCGAGACGTAAGCCTTTGCAAGAGGATTCAGGTAGATGGGAGCCGTACCATCTCGAACTTTGTATGCTAGTGTTAGCAATTTGAATTTGATGCGTGCTGCTAGCGGTAGCCAGGGGAGCTCAATGAGCAGAGGGGTGACGTGTGCTCTTTTTGGCTGATTGAAGACCAGACACGCCGCGGCGTTCTGGACCATTTGAAGAGGTCTCACAGTACAGCCTGGAAGACCAGTTAGACGGGCATTGCA